TAAATTCACCACTAATCTTCCATTAGTTCGTAAACTATTTAGAAACTCTAATTTTTAACATTAGCCATTGTTTTTTAAGTGCCCTTAATCAGATGAATCCGGAGTTTTCCGGTCGTTCGGAGAAATTGCAGTTTTAAGCTGTTATGCGCGTTGTGGGCACGCTTCCCCAAACTCACTAATTTTTGTCAATTTTCATCAGAAATCATATTTCCTAGTCCTATATACCATTTATAACTTATATCCAAACCTAGAGCTCAAAATTCAATCGGCACGCTTTACGGTGCAACTGTACCGCATTATTTTTACCCAATAAAAATACTATTCACCAAATTTTCCGAAACTTGCCTAACCACTCAATTTTTCGTTCTGAATTCATTTCCAGGGTTTCCCATTTGAGACCACTTACTCAATTTTACCTTCCTAGGATTACGTGTTTGGCTAATTACCGTTTTACACTTTCTTTGCAGTTTGATCTTAATTTCAGGATTTTCACTAATCTTACTCTTTAATCCATCTTTAATGTATTAATATATGTTTTAGAAATACGAGGTGTTATAGTGAGTAAAGCCAAAACTTGCATGGTTTTATTTGTTTCATGGTCAAACCTCAGAACCTTGACACACATCTTAGGTACCTAATAGTCATGGAATGGCCACCCAATACCTAACAAACATGGGGGCACTTACGTTTTTTTTCATGTAACTATAATTTCATGTAATTATATGGTTTTCTTTCTTCACGAGTTACCACCCTTCTTATTACTAGATTCATAAGTTATTTAGTGATAGTTTGCAATCTTTATGACACATGATCTCAACTACACGACTACTCAAATTGTGCTTATTATATCTACTTCACAAAATATGCTTGATAGCTGTAATGCCCCGTGTATACTCGGTTTGTTAACATGTCATCGTATTAAGCCATGCTTAATTAAAATTGTGGAATATCTTTTTCTTTTCAATTATGACCTTGTTATCCTTACTAAGTTGACTTACTTAATTCATTTCAAAACATTGCCTGTATGTAAATTGCAAAAGAAAGCTAACTGAAACACCTCAATATAAAATTAACATCAATATGTCTCTAGTCACGGAACTACAACACGTAGACCGGACAACCCTGATAGTTTATACAACGCAAACAAACTTAAACATCGTCAAATCAATGTGGCATGGACAATCCTCATGCTCACCAAATAAACAACATACTCATCAAGTCACAATACAAACAACATGGTAATGGTAAAAGCATAAAACCAAGCAGGTGCATCAGCATAAACAACAAACATGATAATCAACTAAGCTCCGGCCTCCTGCCGCTAGAGATCTCGGCCCCTGGGTTATCTGAACCTGAAATAAGCGCCCCAAACATGGGGTGAGATCTCTAAACAGAAATCTCAGTAAGGCAAGGGGTCCTCAAGGATCTTCCACCCAAAGCTCACTTACATGTGCAATATAAGTTCTAAAACAGTTCAACAATATAAGTTCCAAAATAGTGCAATGCAGCAGATAATCATGTCATGTGTGTCAATACTAATCTACTGGCCAGAGAATGCAGGAATACGTCTATTACCCACACTAGTGCAAGACGCCACTTGAACCCACCCACAGTCTCACCATTTTGTATGACGCCACATACTCAAGCTTACCGTCAAAGTGGAATAACACATACATATTATAAGCCATCGCACAAATCAGCTCAAAAACATTTCAAGTATAAAAGCATGTAAACACAACATGCATATAAACCATTCCCCCGTGGGGTATGGTGGAACCATACAATGGCTAAACCGAGAACACGAAAGCTTATCTTGCAAGCTAACTATCCAATGCCAAGAGTCCACACTAGCTCAAAGCCCAAACACAACAGAGTCACAATCTGTTTCAGACCAGCAATATATCAATAATCAAACTTAACAAGCATAAGACACAAAGACAACACATTTTCTTTATGTTTTACGTCTTTAGGCTTCTCACAAAGCCACAAGCCCTTAATCACTTAGGTTCTGACTTACATTAATCGTTACAGAAGTCCACAGTAGCCAATCATGGGTCCACAAACCCAAAATAGCATTCTGTATGAACAATACCTTTACTGTTCTCGGAAACCCAGAATACCTGGATATATGTTGGGGGCATATCCGGATATCAATATCCGGATGTCTCTCTGCCAATATCTTGGATATCAATATCCGGATATCATATACGGATATCAATATCCGGATCTCCATATCCGAATATTTCGTGACATAATGCAGTTCTGCATTTCGCGAGATATCTTTCCCAAAGGTGGTTCATTTAATGCATACAGAAGCTTAAACATGCGATTTAAGGTGTGTTTAACCTTACCCAACCTTAAGTTATGATCTTTAGCTTGTTACATGAATCAAGGCTTCATTTTAGCAAAGGAAACATAAGGTCATGGTTGGTGACACTTATCCAAGACTCAAATAGAGGAGTAAAGGCTCATGGAGCTCAACAAACAGCCCCTAAAGTACAGACCTCAAGGGTGCATGAAAATGGCACACAAGACTTGGTTTTTCTTCAAAAAGGTTGACACTTAGAGCTTCAACTACCAAGATAATGGCTTCACACTCCACCAAACCAAAAGTCAGCACCAAAAACTCACAAAGGCAGTGGCCACAACCCAAAAACAAGTTCCACAACTCACCCCCAATGGTATACCTCACTCACATCAAGTGTTTAGGAGAAGATTTCATGAAGAAATGACCTCTAGGCTCAAGAAATGGGGAAGGGAAGGCAATGGAACAGTGGGGAAGGGCTGATCAGCCACCAAGTCACGTAGGGATATTGTATGGCCTAGGGTTTTGGGCCAACAATGCATATATATAGTGCATTAAGCCTTAATCGCACAGTATTAGTGCTAATTTCTACGCTTAGCATTTTAATCCCAAACTTAGGATTCTGAACCTAATCATTTTTCTAAGACTTATCATATTTTTATTTTATTTTTCGCAGCACCTTCCCGGTACGCGCTTTTTCATAGCTAGTATTAGTTCTGGCACCAATTCTCATTATTTTAACTTGAAACTTGTTTAACAAATCCTATATATTATTCTAGTGACATATACACACTTTTTATAATTTTCCGGGATACTTCATCGGTACGCATTTATACCGAGTAGCAGAACCGATATCTGCACTTTTCGTCAAAAAAACGACTTTCAGCTTTAATAAACACATACCATAATTATTTAAGCCTCATAATAATTATTAGGGTCACTATGAAATTATTTCCTAATTTCTCATAATTAATTAACTTCCTTAATTAACGGTGCATGTTCTTACATTCACCCCACCTTTTTAGGATTTTGCCCTCAAAATCAGAATAAACATGTCTCGGAAGTCGGGATACTGCTGGAGAAGCTCGTCCTCTCGCTCCCAAGTACACTCCTCAGGAGTTCTTCCCGTCTACTGCACCTTGACCATCAGAATGATCTTGCTCCTAAACTGCTTCTCGCCACGATCGAGAATCTTGAGTGGTCCGACGGGAGTCTTTAAGTTCTCCCGAACCTCCACGTCATCCGGTTGCACCACGTGCGAAGGATCCTCTATGTAACTCCGAAGCTGAGACACGTGAAACACATCGTGGATGTTGGCCAAGTTCGGGGGCAAGGCAAGCCGGTAGGCAACTAATCCTACTCTACCAAGGATCTGGTATGGCCCAATAAATCGCGGGCTCAGCTTCCTCACTTCGAGGGCCCAACCAACACTGGTGACAGGTGAAAGTCTAACAAACACGTGCTCACCCTCATTGAACTCCAATGGACGATGCTTGACATCGTAGTAACTCTTCTAGCAATTCTGCACATGCTTCAGTTTCTCTCGGATCATCTGGATCTGCTGGGTAGTATCTTGGACAAAGTCTAAGCCAAACAAATCCTTGTATCCAACCTCAGACCAGTAGGTAGGAGCCTCGTAAGGTGCCATGCCCAGGCTAGCATGAAAGCTGTTGTTATACGAAAACTCCACCAATGGCAGATACCTATCCCATGCTGAACCCTGCTCCAAAGTGCAAGCCCTCAACATGTCCTCCAAGGTCTGGATGGTCTGCTCAGTCTATCCATCAGTCTGAGGGTGATAGGCTGTACTCAGTATCAACTGCGTACCAAAAGCTCCCTGCAGCGCCTCCCAGAAATGAGATGTGAACTTCGGGTCCCTATCACTAATGATACTCTCGGGCACCCCGTGAAGCCTCACAATCTCGCGAACATAAAGCTTGGCCAACTGCTCTATAGTGAAGCTCACCTTAACTGGAAGAAAATGGGCAGATTTTGTCAATCTGTCCACAATGACCCAGATAGAGTCACAACTCGCCTGAGTCGTAGGCAATCCCACCACGAAGTCCATGGAAATACTCTCCCACTTCCACTATGGTACCTCAAGAGGTTGAAGCTTACCAGACGGCTTCTGACGTTCAATCTTCACCTTCTAGCAAATCAAACATTTAGACACAAAAACGGCAACATCCTTTTTCATACCCGGCCACCAAAAATTCTTCTTCAGATCTTGATACATCTTAGTAGCACCAGGGTGGATAAAAAACTAACCCTTATGAGTCTCTGCCATAACCTCTTCGGTCAACTGAGGTCGAGGAACCACGATCCTCTTCTGAAACAACAGAAGTCCATCCTCATTCCAAGACACACCGTCTTGGTTTTTTACATAATCTAGGCACTCCCTCTGCACTTGCGCCTCTTTGATCTTTTCCACTAGATCATTAACAACATCTGCGACTTCCATCTCAAGAAGTGTACCCCCACACAAAGAGGTCACTGCTAGAATTTCTCAATCACGCCAAAGTTACACAACAAACTAGATAGGCTCACGAGTTTCTGACTCAAAGCATCTGCTACCACATTGTCCTTGCCAGGATGGTACTTCAACTCAAAGTCGTAGTCCTTCAGGAACTCCATCCATCTCCTCTGCCTCATGTTCAACTCTTTCTGGTCAAACAAATACTTCAAACTCTTGTGGTCACTGAACACAGCGAACTTCATACCATAAAGATAATGCCTCCAAATCTTGAAAGCAAAAACAATGGCTGTCAGCTCCAGATCATGAGTCGGGTAGTTCTCCTCATGAGGCTTCAACTGCCTCGAAGCATAAGCAATAACTCGGGCCAACTGCATCAACACGTAGCCTAGCCCTTTACCAGAGGCATCACCGTACAACTCAAACTGCTCCGCAGGATCAGGAAGGATCAACACAAGTGCTGTTGTCAATCTCTCCTTCAACTCCTGGAAACACTCCTCACATTCGTGAGTCCACACAAATGGAGTCTCCTTCCGAGTAAGGAGAGTCAACGACAAGACCATCTTGGAGAATCCCTCAATGAACCTCGTGTAGTACCCGGCCAAACCCAAGAAACTCCTAACTTCAGAAACAGTTTTGGGTCTCGCCCAATCCATCACTGCCTCGATCTTGTTGGGGTCCACAGCAACTCCTTCTGCAGAAATCACATGCAAAAGGAACATCACAGACTTGAGCCAAAACTCACATTTCGAAGACTTTGCATAAAGCATTTTCTCTTATAACACTTGCAGTACGATCCTCAGATGCTCAGTATGCTCCTCCTCAGTCTTGGAGTAAATCAAAATATCATCAATGAAGACGATCACAAACTGATCCAAGTACGGCTGAAAATCCAGTTCATGTAATCCATGAACACTGTAGGTGCATTGGTGAGTCCGAATGGAATCACCAGATACTCAAAGTGACCGTATCTCGAACGAAATGCGGTCTTAGGGACATCCTCCGTCTTCACCCGAATCTGATGGTATCCGGACCAGAGATCAATCTTCGAATACACACAAGCACCCCTGAGCTGATCCAGCAAATCATAAATACGCAGAAGGGGATACTTGTTCTTGATCGTCACCTTGTTCAGCTGCCTGTAGTCAGTGCACAATCGCATTGTCCCATCTTTCTTTCTCGCAAAGATGACCGGCGCTCCCCAAGGAGACACGCTCGGTCGGATGAAATTTTTCGCAGAAAGATCCTCAATGTGCTTCTTCAACACTGCCAACTACGGTGGCGACATTCGGTATGGAGCTAATGAAATAGGCCCCACACCAGACAACAGATCTATGGAGAACTCTATCTCCCGCTGTGGCGAAAACTCAGGAATCTCCTAAGGAAACACCTCGAGGAATTCTCCCACCACAGGAATGCCAGTGATATCCTCCTGTGTCCCACTCACCAAACCTCCCAACATGACATAACCGAATGCCCCTGCTCTCAAGGCTCTCCTAGCCTGCAGCAATGAAATATATGGCGAGGAACTGACTGTGGAATCACACGGAGACAGCACCACTCGCTTGGCACAATAGTCGATCAACACACAGTTTATGGACAACCAATCCATGCCCAGAAAAATCTCCAAATTGGCCATCGGCAATCCTATCAGATCTACCGAGAACTCATGGCTATTCCACTGAAATGCTACATCGCAATGAACAGTGGCAGAATCACACTTTTCTTTGGTGGCGGTGGTCACCCGCAACGGTGGAGAAAGCACATCACTGGGCAATTCAAGCCCCACAGCAATCGGGGTTGCAGTAAAAGAATGCGTAGCCCCGTAATCAAACAAAGCATCAATAGCAATCCCACCAATGGAAACAGTACGTCTGACAAGGTTCGGAGCTCGGTCCGGCTGTTGGCGATCCAACGTATACACACGCCCGGTAGCAGGTGGCACTGCAGGTACCGAAGTCGGTGGAAGGGGAACCATCTGCAGTGGAACTACCTGAACTACAGCAGCTCTCGCCGTCGACGACGGACAATCTCTAGAATAGTGGCCCTCCTTGCCACAGTGAAAACAGATCAGCTTCCTCGAAGCACAACGTCCTGCATGCTATTTTCCGCACCCCGAACACCTAGGATTGGAAGGAGGCCTAGCAAAACCACTTTGGTGCGAAGAAGTCCTCTTGAACTGACTAGGCGCCTGCCTAGCCGCAAACTGCTTCCCTTTTCCCTTTCCAGCAAACTTCCTGTCCTTCCAGGAAGTAGAACTACTAGTTCCCTTCGTCTCAGCAATCTTGGCCCTCTTGGCCTTACTCGAGTTGCAGAAGTCCTCGATGTCCCGACACTGCTGCACCAGTGTCCCGAAGTCTCTCGAAGCAGAACCAGCGAGATAACCAGCAATATCCTCATTAAGTCCCCTGCGGAACTTAGTAGCCAAGAAGATCAGAGTAGGCCTCTCCATCCAAAAGTGAGCGAACTTAACCAGCTCATTGAACTTGGCCAGGTACTCATCAATAGACAACGAGCCCTGTACCAACCTGTCGAACTCCCCCTGCTTCCTTTCTTGGGCATTATAAGGGAAGTACCGACCCAGAAAGCAATCCTCGAAAAATGGCCATGTCATGACATGACCTTGCATCTCATAAGCGTGAGAGGTGTTCACCCACCACTCATGGGCATCGCCCTCCAGCATATAGGTAGCAAACATCAGCTTCTGCGGATCAGTACACTGCATGACCCGGAAGATCTTGTCCAACGCCTGAAGCCATCTCGCCGCATCAATAGGATCATAAGACCCATCAAAGAAAGGTGGCTTATGCTTACGGAAAGCATTAAGCCGGCGATCAATCACATCTCTATCTTCAGCAGGCTCCACAAAGGGTTCCATCACCCCAGTCAAGTGACCAGTTTCCTCAACCTGGTTCTGGCTCTCGTCCTGCAGACTAGGTGGAGGCGGCGGCGATGGTGGCGGAGCGGTGGCGGTGGGAACTGACCAACAGCAGGACCAGCTCTCATCTCCTCCAACATGACCCTCATCATGGTCATGTTCGCCAAACGATTCGTGTAACACCTCGTGTTAACCCGATTTGTTAACATGTCATCGTATTAAGCCACGCTTAATTAAAATTGCGGAATATCTTTTTCTTTCCAATCATGACTTTATTATCATTACCAAGTTGAATTACTTAATTCATTTTCAAAACATTGCCTGTATGTAGTTTGCAAAAGACAACTAACTGAAATACCTCTATAGATAAAATAAGTGAGTGTATCTAAGTCACGGAACTACAACACGTAGTCCGGACCATAATCCTGATACATTAATACAACTCGAAACTAAATAGGACATAGTCAATCAATGTGGCATGGACAATCCCCATGCTCACCAACTAAGGCAACAAAGCCCAACAGAGTCTCAAACCAAATAACATAACAATAATATAAAGCATGTCAGCATCCAAAGCATATAACCATACACAACATATTTCTCAGCTAAGCTCCGGCCTCCTGCCGCTAGAGGTCTCAACCCCAGCATTACCTGAACCTGAAATATGTGCCTCAAACGTGAGGTGAGATCTCTAAAAAGAAATCTCAGTAAGACAAGGGGTCCTCAAGGACTCTTCCGCCCTAAGCTCACTTACAAGTATAATATAAGTTCAAAAGCAGTAATTTCAATACATGTTCATGTTAAGACATTTATATCATGACAGTATAGTCTCTTGCTCAATGAGCTAAATACTACAACTCATTAATCATGTGATGTATGTAGATGCGGTTCGACTGGCCAGGGAACAAGATAGGGATTATGCACGTCTGCGACCCATCTAAACATAAGAGTCGCAATATTATGCTTTACACACTAGAGTCGCTGTCTGATTGTGTAAGTGAACATCATCACTTCCATACACTACATGTCTTACACACCAGAGTCACAGTCTGATTGTGTAAGTAATCAACAGACATACTCACATATCTCAGGTATATATCAATGCATATAACATTTTCATAAAAGCATACCATGCATATAAACCACCCTCCCATAGTGGTCGGTGGAACAAACAACAGATCAATCCGAGGACACGAAAGCTTACCTTGCAAGCTAGCTATCCAAAACAAGAGTCCACACAAGCTCAAAGTCCACAAACAGCAAGATCACAATCTGTTTGGACCAATAATCACATCAATATTCATACTCCACACGCACATGACATAAAGACAACGCCTTTCCTTTACGTTTTATGTCTTTAGGCTTCTCACAAAGCCACAAGCCCTTAATCACTTAGATTCTGACTTAGTTTAATTATTACAGAGGTTCTACTTTGCAAATCTAGGGTCCACAAACCCCAAACATCATTATGTATGAACAGTGCAGCTACTGTTCTTCGAAAACCCAAAATATCCGGATATCATATCCGGATATCACAAGACCCCACATCCGGATATCAATATCCGGATATCATATTCGGATATCAATATCTGGAAATCCATATCTGGATATTTCGCGACAGAATGTAGTTTCTGCATTTCGCGAGATATCACTCCAAAGGTTGTGTTTTTAACCCATTCCAACGTTAAAGCATGCATTTTTATTCTGTTTTAATTTCATATACAGATTACCTACTTGTTTAACTCATTAACATGCCAAGAATTCACCTTTATACCAAGAAAACTCATGATGAAGGTTAGGGAAGCTTACCCAAGGTTCAAAACTTAGAAAAGGTTGCTCTTGGAGCTCACCACACAACTGCAAGGTTCTGTCTCCCATGGCACACGAAAATGACAAGCAAGCAAGGTTGTTTTTCACCAAAGGTGGCTCCTTAAAGCTCAACAAGCAGGGAACAAAGGCGTCCCAACACTCAAACCACCAAGTCAGCCCTCTACACCTCACACTCAGAAGCTGGAACTCAGAAAAAGGAAGTCTCACCCACTCACAAGACCACTTCACACTATTTCAAAGTGCAAAGGTGAAGGTTTGAAGGAAGAAAAGGTCTCTATCCTCACAAAAATGGAGGAGAAGAGAAGGTGACAAGCTTGGGAGGCAACCAGCTTCAGAAAGGAGGCGCAACATGCAATAAAATCTGACCTAGGGACATGTGCCCTCAAATTTATAGGGTATCAACTTTAATCACACTGTATTAGCGCTAATAGCTACGCTTGACATTTTAATCCCAAACTTAGGATTCTGAACCTACTCATTTTTCTAAGATTTATCATATTTTTATTTTATTTTTCGCAGCACCTTTCCAGTACGCGCTTTTCCATATCTAGTATCAGTTGTGACACCAGTTCTCATTATTTTAACTTGAAACTTGTTTTACAAGTCCTATATATTATTCTAGTGACATATACACACTTCTCACAATTTTCCGGGATGCTTCACCAGTACGCATTTATACCGAGTAGCAGAACCGGTATCTGCACTTTTCGTCCGAAAAGCGACTTTCAGCATTATTACTCACGTACTATAATTATTAAAGCCTCATCATAATTGTTAGGGTCAATTATGGAATTATTTCCTAATTTCTCTTAATTAATTCATTAACTTCCTTAATTAACGGTACGGATTCTTACATTCACCCCACCTTTTTAGGATTTTGCCCTCAAAATTAGAAAACATACTCGTCTCGAAGCGCGGGATACTACCGGAGAAGCTCGTCCTCTCGTTCCCAGAATTACCCTTCAGGAATTATTCCTGTTCATCGTACTCTGACCATCGAAATGATCTCGCTCCTCAGCTGCTTCTCCCCACGATCGAGAAACTTGAGTGGTCCGACGGGAG